GCAGCCTCTGCCCGGGACCAAGCAGGCGGCCGGGCTGCCGGCGACTGCGCCTGCGCGGCGGAGCAGCCGACCGGCCTTGCGTCACCGGAGGTTCCCCCCCCTCCTTCTCTGTCCTCAAGAGACCCAAGTCCCGGACCCCGGGCTTTTCTTCCGGCTCCCCTTCGGAAGCTCCTATACCAAAGGGCACAGAGAGAGCGCCACGGACTTTTCTTCCGGCTCCCTTTCGAACGCTCCCAAGTGGAGGGGCAAACGCGGTGGGAACGAGACATACTCTACACGTGTTAACTAGAAGCGTTTCTGCTTAAAGAAGGAGTTGCTCTTCTTTCTCATTCCTTTTTTTCCCCTCTCTGTCTTTTTCCCCCCTCAGCTTAAACACTTTCCTTTTCTGGAAGTCGCGAAATCCACGGCCAGCAGATAGCCTGCTGTGGGGATTTGGGGAGTTGTAGTCCCGAAACAGTGAGGTTTCCCCCGCTTTGCAAAGTTCAAGAGGAGAGGGGGGGTCTTCTGGGCGAGCACGTGTGTGTGCTGCGTTCACACGTGAAGCTCCCGCCACTCTGCCCGCCCTAACCCTCTCCCCGCGCCCCGCACGCGCCCTGCACGTGGCCGAGCTTCCCGGTGGCGATTGAGGACCCGAAGTGGCGAGAGCTCCGCGCCAAGGAGCCCCGTTCCCCTTTGCTTTCCCTCTGCTCTCCTGCGGCCAACAAAGGGGACGGGGACGCCGTCGCCCTGAGTTGGGCGCCCCCTGGAGACCAACCGGGGGTACTACAAGCAGCCTCCAGGCAAAGGGACCTTTTCAGGGCAACCCCGGAGACACGCACTAGTTTAGAGCCCAAAAAGGGACTCGTGGAAAGGGAAGGTCTTGGTGATTGGCAGCAGCCTGGTGGGGCTGAACCCAGGCTGGGGGGGAATCCATGGTCCTTCCAGCACCCTCACCCTTCAGCTGGACTGCCCAGGTGCAACAGGAAACGGAGACCCATGTTCCCCAGTTTCGTTGCAGTGGCTATGCTTGTTCAAGTAATTTCTGACCTCTAGGGCCTCCAAATGTTCTTGGACTACAACTCCCAGAAGCCTTCACCACCATCTCTGCTGGCCAGGAGTTCTGGGAGTTGAAGTCCAAGAACATCTGGAGGCCCCAAGGTTAAGAACCAGTGCTCTAGGGGACCCTATACATAACTGGCTTTCAGGAGGTCTCGTCATTCACAGCCCTCCTCGGAGGTTTCAGATTCAAGGCCATGGCTTCTTTGATTTAGCCAGTCCATCCCACATGCAGCCATCCTCTTTCCCTACCACCTTCAACATTCCTCCCATGGTTTGTCCAAAGTACGACAGCTTCGGTTTAGGCATTTCAAGTTCTAGTGAGATCCAGGCTCCTTTTAGGGAAGACAGCTGTCTGTTCAAAGAGCTACCGGCCAGGAAGACACATGCCACCCAAAAGGAACAGAGGAAGGATGCTGCCCCCTTTTCAGGGGCCTGCCAAACATTTTCTTTTACAGCCATCATCCCACAAGCCTCTTAAAGATGTGGAAAGGGATTTGTGCCGGCCAACACTCTCTGGGTGGCTGCCAGGATTGCCCACCCCATTCCTCGGTGCCAGCTGATGTCTGGCGGCGGCGAAGTGTGGAGACGGAAATAGAACCACACCTGCCTTCCCAAAGACCAGAAGGGGCAGCTGAATTGTTCTCCGACAGCCGTTTGCTCCGAGAATCTCTCCGATTTGCCCACAATCATAGCAATGCCTGCTTAGATCCTGCCAAGCCTCTCCCTGTGGTAAACTAGGGAGCTAGTCAGATTTTTGATCGGTTGAGAGAAGGGCCCCCAGGCATCCCTGTTTCCACACTGGGGGTCATTTCCTTATTTCATACAGAAGTTCTGGCGGCAATATTAAATGTACACCCATGGGGGACAGGTGCCGACTCCTCAGATCCCATCAGTTTTCAGAGGCGAGTTTTCCTACAGTTTGGGGCCTCTGCTAAGGAAATATGGTTGGAACCTATCCAATATTCAGTGGGAATTGGAGTTCAGAAGTAACTAATGATATATGTAGAAGGACTGCAGAATTTGTGGGGGACCAACTCCAAGCCCCCCATAATAGTGAACTCTGTACAGAGCATGGTCTCTGGCCCCTTCTAGTGCTCAGTTCTGGTAATTACGTCATGGAAATACGTAACAGTACTGTACTGTATTTCTAGGTCTTTTCATTTAATATTTTCAGACCACGGATAAGTGAAACAGTGGATACTGATCCCATAGATAAGGGGGTTCTACTATAACAAGTTGTTTGCAGCTGATTCTTCCTCTCTGTCCTAGAATCCCGTTCCCCCTAAGATCTACGGCCAGGCCTTTTGTTGTGTCCTAGAAGGGACAGGGCGGACCTATGATAGCAGTTGCAAACTAGTGGGTGTGGGTGTGATAAACATAAGTGTGTCAAGAGGCTACGATGAATTTAAATGCCGGAGTGTGCAGCCCCATGAAAACGATCTAGGTGGGTGAGGAACGACTGCCCTGGAACGACTTCTGTTCTGGGTAGGCAGCGGGCTCCTGTGTCTTTTGGCACCCCTTTCTTGGCCCTGCAGATACTGACAACATAAAAGCACAATGCAGGGAAGAGCATTTAGCACGGTTCGCGGTTCCTTTGGTGCCCTCTCGGTTGTCAATCTTCGTCAACTGCCATTTTCGGTGTCTCTTCCACCTCTACAAAATCAGGGACCAGAAATAAGACACAGCTTCCGTGTGGGCTTTGTGCACACACTGACTTTCCTTCCCCTACAAACACCTACCATACACCTGACTTTGACTGCTGGCGCCCAGCTAGCATTGAGTGGAGCCCTGCCCTGAACGGTACCGTTGGCCTCCTGCCTCTTCCAAGTCCATCGCTGTGTACCTCAAGTGCTGCCTGCCATACTTGGCCTCACTTTCATTTAACTGGCTCCCCTCAAACCTCTTCCACTCGCTTACGCCTCTGCTCTTCCCCACCATATGGCTCTGTGCTGAGATATTCCAAGTTCTGCAACTTCTTAACGATCTGGTTTACAAGCAAGCCTGAAAATGATGACAGTTTGAGACTCAATATTATACAAACTGCTCACTCACTGGGTTATCCAGAAAAGCAAATTTTAAGCTCTAAAGAATGAAATGATGCTCCATTTACAAGCAAAGAAAGTAAACAGCACACAACTTTTTTTATTATTATTATACACCAATAAAGAAAAAACATTTGGCACACAAATGCCTTTATTTTTTATTTCTTTTTCTTTCTTTTTTTTGGACACATGAACACAAAATCCCTGCAGGCTAAAAAAAAAGGAAAAAAAATTGCAATTTATACACAGCCAGCATATCGCAATAGGGGGGGTTACTGGCCCACCCTTCCCCCAAAAAGGGGTTTTGTTTTTTTAAAAAAGAAATAGTACCTCGTATTGCTATAGACATACATCCAGTCCAATTTTAATAAAATACGATTTAAAACATTACAAGTCTAACAATATAGAAACAAAAAAACAAAACAAAAAAACCCAAAGAAAAATACATCAAAAGTCAAAAATGAACAAATGCAAACAAGTTTTACATACAAGTTTTCAGGCTCTAGACATAGAAATATCACAAAAGTGTCAATAGCAAGGTAGAAAGAAACTCTTGAGTGATATTCACACACGATCTTTCCTCAAATTGCACAAGGGAAAAAAAACCTTGCAGTTTGAAAGAGTATTGATACAATGCCCTCCGGGCTCCACTTTCTGAAAACGAAAGCCGAGCAACTGCCTTGCTCTTGAGCAAGAAGGGAAGGTCTACTCTACAGCGTACCCACACACAGAGTTGGGCCTTCTTGTATTTGCTTCCCGGAGGGGGAAAGGGAAGGGGAGCTGGGAGATCCGGCCACCTGTCAGAAGACTAACCTTGCCTCGGTCTCAGACTGACCTAAGGCCTTTGATATGGGGCGGAGTGGGGCTGGGGAGGAGCGAAAGACACGTTTTCAGTCCCAAGAAGACAGAACATCTTTTGCATCCAGTTGGACCCTCGTTTTGGATGCCGTTGTTCTAATCCCAGGGGAAGACACAGCCCGCCTGCCAGCCCCCCAGCGTACAGACAAGTTGATCCTCTCCTGCATCTGCTACCACGGATGGACGGACGGACGGAGTTTTTCTGTAGCCTTTTCACAATTTAAGTGCTCATAAAAAGCTGTTCTGGGGTGGGGAGGGTGGGGAGAGCAAAGTGCTTTGCTGCTGTAGAAATTGCTACTTGCTGCTTCTTTTGATTCTCTCCTTCCTGGCCCCCCCGCAACCCCCCCAGCCCAAATCTGCTACATCTGAAAATCTTCCACAACATACAGCTAAACAGTAGCCATGAGGCTTTAGTTAAAGAAAGGAAGGGGGGAAAAAAGCTTTGGAAACAAACCGAACACCTTAATACACTAAAGCTACAGAATGCACGTCTTCCCATTGATTGACACATGCATAACGATTCAGGGCATGGGGGGTGTCTCTGTTCTGATGAGCAGAGTCACACGATTCTGCCACACCCAACAGTATTGCTGCAATTGCCATAATCAGTCTGAAGACCACTGGTGAACCACTCACTCGCTCACTACCGATACACGCCCCCGTCAATAAATCCTCAGCATTGGAACACCCACGCCAAACACGCCACTGCGCTTTTCAGTGACTCAAGAGATAAGCGAACACATTCAGTGACTCAAGAGATAAGCGAAGGAGAGGGAGATTCACAAGAAATTCCAAAAAGTGCAAACGTTGGCAAAAAAAGTATCTTCTCTATAGATTTTTTTCTTTTCTTTTCTTTTTTTTTTTGGATGATAGAATTCACTGTGAAAATAATGCACTGGAAAAAAATCCTGCTTTTTAATATATATAGATATATGCATTTAAAATACAGACTTCAAAAGATACCTGTGGTTTTCGTAAAACAATAAAAAATACAACGAGCAGAAGAATATCTCTTTCCTATGATAAAAGACAAGAAAAGCCTTTTTTGCCTTAACCCTGGCCTCATTTCGTGAAAAGGCCGCCAGTGAAGCTGTTCCAGTGATCTGAAAGGTTCTCCTTCGCAAAATCGGGGACAACCTACACGCGACTGTCCATGCAGTTTAAAAACGGTGTTAATAGCGGATCACTTTATTTATTTATTTTAGGCAAATACAGAACCCAAGAACGAAACAGGCAGCAAATCACCATTGGCAATCAATTTTGCTGGGGCTTTGAGGGCCAAGACTTGATGGGGAAATGGCATGGGAAAGGACAAAATCCTTGCCTCCTGCACCTTGATCTTTGGGAGCAAAAGCTGAACAGGAGAAGCCACACCCAAAGAGCATAGTTAACAGGTGGCTTGGTGTCCAGGAGAGTGACTGCCAGACAGACCAAAAAACAAAAAAAATCACCAAAAACAAAACAAAACAAAAACCCACACCACATGCTGCTGCTCTCTGCTTGACCTCGGACCAGTCAGTGCTAGGATAACCACCCATTTTGTTTATGGAACATACTGCTTCTTCCCACCCACCCCTAATCTGTGAATGTTTTCCTCTCTCTAAAAACATGCCCTTTCCTCACAGCAGTCACACTGCCTTTCTAATCTTATTCGTCAGTCCACTCACTTCACAACCACGTCCCCGGTGGATTCCATCGCCGGCAGAACCGCCCGGTCCAAGATCTAAAAGCCCAACTCAACAGTCGATCGTGCTTCGTGACGAACAGTGGGGTGACCATGCCTAGTGCAATATTTAAAAAAACGCGACACACTAAACAGGTGCTCAAATGCTCTTCAAGGTGCCTCAGTTCTGTATCTGTTTGGGGCCAGCAGGAGCTCGATTCTTGCATTTTCTCCCTGAACAAATATATATAAATATACACATATATATATATTTTAAAAGGTGGGGTGGGGAGAAAAGAAGCAGACTAACAGAAGCAGCAGTGGTCACTCTCCCTTCTCCACCTCCTGATATTTATTACCCAAGTGAGGTATTCTTAAGGAAAACAAAACGAGCCTTAAATATATTTAAAGTAATTCAGTATCTAAGCCTGGCCACACTGCGTGTCACAGCCAAGGACGCTTCTTCGCTCTTGCTTCCCTTCCGAGTGATCGGCAGGAAGCTTCTGAAGCTGCTTTTCAAAGACTACCTTCAGGTGTACCCTGGTACACCTGAAGGACCGTATCTGGAAATGTAAACTTTCCAAGTTTCTACAAGCTTTATTTCAAAAGCCTAAAAAAAGGGAAAAGTCAAAATCGCATAGCATCTTGTTGACTTGGAGGCCTAGGTCTGAAGGCCCACAAGGTCCGGGGACTCTACAAACTATCTCCTCATTTCAGAGACTTGAAGTGCAATTACTGACAAAATCCCAATTTTTCACAGTGGCATCATGTCGTCTCAGTTTTAGCAACTAGTCATTTAAAGCATCTTGTGCTCACACTCACAAGCTAGTCTCAAGGCGACACAACTGCTGTCTGAAGGTTCCCCCACCCCTGCCCCAGTTTTATGCATTACATATTTAAATCGAAGCTAGCCAAGCAAATAAAGGAGTCCAAAATCATAGAAATGGGGTAGGGATCTACAGTTAAAAATGTACACTCCACACATGCTACTGAGTGCTGCTGTACATGCAGGCAACCTAAATTCCCAAAGAAACAAATTTTTAAAAATGCTGGTTAAAGTATTTGATTGCTACGGCCACACTATACACAGCTGTACATATTGGCAATGCCTTTCCTTTACATAACACCCACTTTTGAAGCTTATAAAAAAAGGGGCAGACAGACCAATGGTGAATATAAAACAGCTAAAAATAATCATTTGTAAAAGGCATGAAGGGAGCCTTTTCTAATGTTTTTTTTTCTTTTTTAAGAACTAATTTCCTCTTCAGCAAAGATAAGTCAATCTACGCAAGAATACTGGCTGTAACTCATGTAAAGTATTTGCTAGAAAAGTTACAGTCAGCGCATTAAAAAAAAAGTTATTGCCAAAGTTAAAACCTCCTATGAAAAACAGTATTAAAAATGATTTCAATTCATCAAACACAGCAGCATAAAATGGGCACTTTTGTAATGTCAGAAAAATATCTAAAACTGATCTTTGAGAAGTTCATCACCTATTTTAGAGGGGGGAAAGAGGTTCAGTGCTCTGAACCCTAGGATGGCAGTTGCGCGCAGCCATAAGGACTGGATGGTCTCAGACGTGCCAACGGGCGTTCATCGCTCTCCACTGCCATTACACATTCACAGAACCACCTAGCTGAACGCGAAGCTGTAGTGCAATTGCTCCGCAGCCCATGGACTGCAGAGAGATTTACAAAAAGAGAACGAGTAACACCTGACAAAGCAGGGAGAGGGGAAGAAAAAAAGAAACCGAAATCAAAAACCAGCAGTACCTCTAAAAAGTTAATGGTTGTCGAAAGGCGTTTACAGTAAAAATTTTGTTTTTATAAAGTCTATATGGCCCCACACAGAAGAGCAGTGGAGTAAGATGTTTCTGTCATATCTTGAGACTCGCTCACTAAGCGGCGTGGAGAAGCCCAGGATAATTCAGCTTCTTGATAAGCTTAATGGGGACAAGGAGGTAACTTAAAATTGGTTAGCAAAATATTTCAGTAAAAACCTTTCATGCCAAGTCCTTTAAAAATTTCTTAGAGGAGGATCAGCCTTTTGCGCTTTGAGGTAAAAATTCAGTCCAATGCAAAGACTGTCTATGAAATTCTATCTACTGAAAATCACAAAATAAAAATGGCTCAATTGCGTCTGCATCTGATGTTGCTGTAAGCGTCGATTCAGTGCAACCATCCCAGCTGCTGGTGGTGGGCAGCCTAAAATTGAACCGAGCCCTAATAACCATGGTTGGTGGCAAGCCCAACCAGGCTACCGCGTTCGGCCTCGTCTTGCCGGATTCTCGTCAGGCAAAATACATCGTGTGCTGGGTGTCGTGGTGGATCTGTACCGCCTTGGCCAGTGCTTGAGGGTCACGTCCATTGCTCTGCCCTGAAACATGGCTGCCTTCAGCGCTGAAAAGAAATTGAAGAGGAATTTACCAGGCAAATATATTACCACAAGCCAAGCCCATTACACAGTGGTCCTTAGCTACCCATATGTGCTTAAGGCAGGACATAAGAGTCTTGGTTAAAAGTTGTTTCTAGCCATACTAAAGTATTAATACACGCTGGAAAACGAACCCCCATTTTCTACACTCAAGGCATGCTCCCTACCCTGGCTTCCTCAGAAATACCTGAAGGGTTCAATAAGAAAGTTTTAGTACCAAAAACAGTGAACTGGAGTCACCCCTGTGCTCTGCTCCTGCAATCTGAGGAACTAACCACAGGCTGTCTGCCAACAGCTTTGAAGCACACACGGGCCTGAATCACAGTTTATTTTCAAGCCCTTCTGTGACTGGCCGCTATGAAGGCAATGATCCTGTCCACTTGTCAATTCCCTCTGACCTCACTGTTTACAAGTCTTCACTACCCAAACCTGTGTGTCTATTTATATCTACCAAGCGAGCAAAACAGTTCATTCATCACCACAGTCTACAGAAGCTTATGCCAAGGTGCCATAAGACTCTTTTTCCCCCCACACACACACCCCAAAACCCAGACTACCACATAGGGAGGCGATCCCAGAGAGTGATTTACAGCTGAACTCAGTATGTTAAAAGACGGAAGGGAAAGGCGAGCTGGGTGCCACCTGCCATTCCCACGAATTCCCCATCTCACCCGGTCAGGCCCTGAAGCCCTGCAGGCTGTTCACTCTGAGGGCTGCTCACCTGTCGTGATCTTTGTCGACAAGGTGATACCTTGCTCTAAATGCGACCAGCCTCGCGTAGTATGCAGGTGCAGGGATGGAGACCGAACGGGTGCACCGGACATAAGTGTGACAGAGCTGGTAGGTCAGTAGCTGCAGTTCATCGGCAGTGAAACAGTTGTCATCCCACAAGACTTGATAGTGAGAAGGGCGGCTCGTTCCCTGGGAGAAAAGACGGCAAGCCAATCCAACTCTCAGACGTACAAAAACATGCAATACGAGACCGACACGTTGCCCGTCAGGAAATTTTTTTTGTCCTTCTAAGAATAGACCATCTATCCCCAGGACTGAGAAGCCTTTCCGTTCTTCTCTTCTCCAGAGGTCTTGCTTCCTCTCCCTTCAGATATGGAGATTCAGCCAGCAAAAGAGGAAGCAAGACATTTCTTAATTCATGAGCGAAGGCTGTGCACCGAGATTGAAGGCTGAACTGTACCCGGTAATGCAGAGAACTGCGGCCTCCTACAAGCCCTATCTTAAGCCAATACAGTTGGCTACTAAGAGCAATGTCCACCAAATGAACCTCCAAACAATCACGGACACTAGCAAAAGGGCACGGCTCCCGCTCAAACAACAATGCTCAGTCCTAGACGTTTCTGAGTCTCCTTGCATATGTGCAGTTAAGACCCATGTGTGTGAGTCACAGAGACCACAAAGAGGAACCCACACTGCCTTGGATATAGACTGACACACTTCCTTTTTGCAAACTGTAAACTAAGCTGCTGATTACCTGAATTCCTGCATGGCTACAGAGGTAAAAGTCAAATTCAGAGGGATGTGTGATGGTGCTGTCCACGGTAGTGCCTGCTGGAACATTGCCACTTTTCCCCACCTATCAGATACATCAAATTAGTGAACATCTTGACTATTAGCACATTCATTCATGTCACAATTTCACAGCTTAACATCACACAGTTTCCGTTTTCTTGCCTGTTTAGTCCCCTTGGAACTGCTCTTTTATGACTGGTCTACAGCAGTGGTTCTCAAATATGGGTCCCCAGATGTTCTTGGACTGCAACTCCCAGAAATCCTGGCCAGCACAGCAAGTGGTGAAGGCTTCTGGGAGTTGCAGTCCAAGAACACCTGGGCTACCCAAGGTTGAGAATCACTGGTCTAGAGCACAATGGGTTGGGAATCAAGACAATTGAACTCTCTCTCTCTCTCTCTTGTGGTTTTCATCCTAGCTCAATCCAGATGCACATAAAGCCATACTCAGCGTGTTTGCAGCACGAACAGAGACTATACTATATGCTGTCCTTATTACCTTGACTCTTCTTGTGACAAAATACTGGACAGTACTGAGATCTCTAGGTGATGACACAAGCTCCTTAGTAGGAAAATGGGATAAAAATGTAACTATTTGGGGGGCTGTTGTGCAACCATTTTTATCCTTGTTTTTCACGCTACATTTTCAGAGTTCAAGGCTTTTACAATTAGGAAAAACTGCTTTCTGTTTTTGGTCAACAGGAATTCCACCAGGTTCCCATTTTAAAGGTGTTTCACCTTTGAAGGCAGCCTTGCAGTACAGCCAAGAATTGAGTCTTCTGTGTCTAAGATACAACTTAGATTTCACCGAGGCCTAATATTGTATCTGAACGCTTTGTTACTGACAAGAAATGTACTCCAAGAAACTAAACAACATCTCTACGGTATTTTGTAGATATGTCTGGAAATTTCACTGCAGCAAACAGACACCGCATCAACATGTGAATGGGCTTAAAGGGTCTCTTGTTTCTAGTAGAAGACTTTTGGCACCCTCAAAAAGCAAAGGAAACACAAACACAGCATATTACCTACCCTTTCCGTTTTGTCAGCACAGAAAAGCCTTGTGTGGTGCCTTTTCTGCACAACGATGTAGGTGATTCCTGGCCTGTAGTCTTCCTCTAAACTAATGCAGGCCTTCCGGATGGCAATGAGTTCTGGCCAAGCTACCTGGGGAGTGTAAATGTACAAGACCAAACACCAACTTAACCTCAGCTTAACCTGTGAAACAACAGGTTGGATTTTGAACAGGTCATCTACCACAAACAGTGAGACTGAAGTGAATCATGCTTATATCCAACTGATGTCAATAGCTCTACGCATGACTAGGTCTACATCCAACCAAGCATTGTCTCCAGACTCCCCAAATAGAATTTCAAAAATATTTAGATTTGTTAGTCTTCCTTTCTCAAAGAGCAAAACTCCATTCCGGCTGCTGGTTGGCCTAAGCTCCTCCAGCCAGAGAGACAGAGCGAGATTTCTTTGAGCTTCCTAAACTCAGACAGCTGACCCTCCCTCCCTTCAGCATGAAGATGGCCACACCAATACCTGTTTCATTTGTCCTTCTGACACCCCTCCCCTGTAGTAGATGATCCGCGTGGGCTTGAACCGAGTAGACTTGTAGAACTGGATCAGCAGTTCCCGCACCATGTTGGTTAAGTCCTGGATCACTTCCTGGCTGTACAGCAGCTCTTGGGAAGTCTCCTGGCGAGAGGTCTGCACTCGCACAGTTGCGCAGTAGCGGCTGGGGTGGCCATCCATGCTGCCCACTACGGCTGCAATGGAGGGCTTCTTCCCGTCCCCTGCAGGAGGGTGAGTGACGTCTGCTCCCAAAAAGATCACCGGCTGCTGGAATACAGATGGCCTGTCCAAAGGAAGAGAAGTGGGAATCAGCTGGAAATCAAGGAAGGGCAGAAATCATTACATACCTTTCTGGAATCTAAATGCACGGAAGAGTATGCGGTGGGAATGCACGCAGCAAAAGCAGGCCACTTTGGTATGTTGTTTTGTTTGTTTACTTGTTTTGTTTTTTGTTTTGCCTCTGAGGGTCACATGAAGGGGTGAGCAGCAATTTGCAAGGACTGCCTATAGGCCGTGGATGCCAAGTGGCTGCACTGCAATCATAGCTTTAGGGTAACTGCAGAGGAGATAACACCTCATCCCCCTTGCGATCTTGTCCGAACACAAACTACTGTCTCTGTGCTTTCTGGAAATGCAGGAAGAATAATTCTTTCCTGCTGCTCAGGTGATGGCTAATTCGGAGGGCAGTGGGGACTAGGTGGGTTTCTGGGCTGCAGGTCACCTAACATGTGCTATATAGAGAATAGCACCCTACGTGCAAGCATGGAGCCATTAACATGACAGAAAGACACTGGCCATTTATATCTGAAACAATTCAGAGCTGCACATGCAAATTTTCATTGGCTATATGAATTTCTGCAAAATTACAGATTTTAGATAATGGCAACAAACAGTAGTCTAGATTTTATTAATACTTCCCCCCCCCCCGAATCATATTTATCATCCAGGGCCTCTCCACACCCCAAACTCTGTCTTCCAAGAGACTCAAAGCACAGACCTGAATGTGGGCTTCTCCTCCAAACCCAGATCTCCAAGCACTACACCACACAGTATAATCAATTCCTGTGACTTAAGATTCTGTTCTCAATTCTCTGCATTTTAGTGTGCGTAACCACTGGACAAAACTAGCACTGCTTCTCACACACATTAAGGCAGCACATATTACCTGTAAAGCCATTCTGCATCACCATCAGGGAAGTGAGGTGCATAAGTAAGTTAAAGCAGATAGCGGTCCTTAAATATATGGGGGAAAGTGGTGGGTGAGGAATCTGCCATGGCGCAAAGAAGAAACAAAGGGAGGAACAACCTGTGGGTGGCTGCAGGTACGTGTCTTAATAGACACATCCTCTAAAGTGATTCAAGTTCCTTTTTGCAACCTCCCTCCTGCCTTGAAAGGCATCATGAGCAGCTGCCTCCTAAAGCTTGCCACATCCTGCCTTGAAAGGCATGAGCAGCTGCCTCCTAAAGCTTGCCACTGTGACTCATCCTCATTTATTCACATTAAAGCCCAGATGCATGTCTAATCTCACAGCTCTTGGAAACCATGAAAGCCATTTTGACTCTAGGACCCCCCCCAAAAAAAAGCTTACACGAGTATGTTTTAAAGCTCCTGTACTGGAACTCCTGTAGCTTCATTTGATTTAAATGCATCTACCAGGACCAATGACTAACTCAAGATTGCACTGGTATGCCCTTGTAAGTTTCATTTGTTCAGAAATGAATTTAAATTGTTGCTTCTGCCTTGTGTGGACTGAACCATTCTGCTTCTCCTGCGCTTACGTTACCCTTCTCTTGTCCACAATGTTGACATGACTGTTGCAGAACTCCCTGTTTCATCTACCTGAGAACTTAGTTCTAATTTTAATATTTGCTTTGTTCAGGGAAAATGCTACTTAGTGAATATCTACGCCAACCTTGAATAAAATAAAGAAGTAAAAACAGTAAATCGATAACACCAACATTTCTGAACATAGCAGACGTTTGCTATTTCCAAACACCAAGTATGCAGAAATTGGTCTTGCAGTGGGAAATAGATGTGAACCTGGATTCTGGTAAAGTTGCCTTAATATGTGTAGAACCTAGCACCTTAAAACGGAGTTGTAGAAGACCTGTATAGTACAAACAATTTGTAGACAACACCTTTGTCATTTAGAAGTATGCGCAAGAAATAACAGGAAGAATTCACCATTACTGGGATCTAAGTCTGAACTGGGCCCACAGCACATGTTGAAGTTTTTCACAGATGTGTACATTACACGTAAGAAATCTGCACCGGTTTACAAGCTGGCAGATGGTCTAAAATGAATACCCTGATCCTGAGTAACTGCCCTTTGTTTCGCTCCTCAATCAGTCTGCATGCCTGCTACAGTGGGTCCCAACAGGTAATAAGCGGAATCTGACCTCTGATGTGGTACAAGCACGTTGTTTATTCCACCAAGTTTTGCATTGATCTTCAGGCAGAGGTTGGACAGAGTCTGAGGAGAGGTTTTGACCACGTTTTTCACCTGGACACACTGGGTGGCCATGCCTAAAAGTGTGTCCCCAACACGCTTGACTTCAGCTGTAAAGGGGAGAAAAAAAGGATTTGCTTCAAGAACGCTTACCTGATATGCAATACTGTCTATTATTGCAGTGAGTAAGATTTTTTTTAAAGAAAACACTAGATTGCATAGCAACATTACAGAGGAAAGGGGGGTGGGACAAGAACCCAAAAATACACATGCGCAGGCATTAGCCATGATGATTGTGCTGGGGATTTTGTTAAGTCTTGCCTTACTTACCGTACACAGGGGTCTTTCCAGGAAGAATCACAACAATTAGCTGCAGACCAACGTAAGTCAACTTCAAGTGTTTGAACATGGGCTCCACGCTGTCCGCACCTTGTGCATATTTGCAGAAGCACGGCTGGCCCTGGATCGGCATCCCCGCGTCCTTGGAGATTTTGCGCAGCTGGTCTGTAAAACTCCTACAGATATAAAGGAAGCGTTTAAAGCCCCTGGTACAGCAGCCCTACGACCTGAAATCCAAGCTCTGTTCTGCTGAGCTAAAAAGGTGGGGAGGCTGGTGACTGAAATGGCTTTGGGAAAAGAACCAGATCCATTTCTGGAGAGATGTGACTGTGTCACAATTAACCACATTAGCTAAACAAAGTCATCCTGAACAGCGACAATGAGGACAAACGGGAGAGAAATTCCCTTCACACCTTAGTAATCATTCAAGAGGAGTTTTCTAGGCTACTATTGGAAACTGATTCCTGAACCAAACGAACTTGGGCATGATGGAACAAAGCAGTTCTTATGACATTTCTAACTACAATAAGTGAGCTAGATTGGCCATTTGCATCTAGGGCATGGGGAATATCTGTCATGATACTTTTGGAAACCCGAAGACCCGTGCGACATAGTGACTTGTCCTGGCCTTGGGAGATCCAAGTTTATAGACCCAATGAGCCATGACCTTGCACGAGTCCCTCTCACTCAATCTCACTTGGTCATTGTGAGGTTAAAGCTGGGAGGAGAGAGTTTTGTAGCTCTTTGGAGGAAAACCAGGAGATATGTGAAACTTATAAACAAACAAACAAACGTATTCCCGTACTTATGTACTTTCTGTTTAGTCAGTTTACTGCATCCAAAGGTCGGCATGAAAGCAGAACACAATACGGCTCAGCGGGGGCGGCTCCACTATGAAACTAATAAAACTTAAGCTTCAGGGCTCCTAATCCTTTAGTCCACATTTTTAAAAAATATAGGATACGTCATGGAACAATCCCATTGGAAAAGGTAACAATGGCTACCCAGACCTCGCTGCTCATGGGTCCACCACTGCTGGTCAGAGAATGACACAGCACCACCCGTTTGGGGAAAAAAAAAAAAAGGAAATATCGCTCTGTTCGAATCGAGAAGCTACTTACTTCAACAAGTCCTCTCGGCACTGCTTCTGAGGAGCAAAGCAGGCAACGGCCCAAACTTTAATTTCAATGCCAGCGTAGAACTGCTTTCCTCTCATATCCCAGACACCTTGGTTTGGTGTAGCAACGGTCTTGTTCTAAAGGAGACCAAAAGCCAAATACATTCTTTCACATCTTCTTTTACCAAAAAAAACCCCAAAAACTTTAAGATAAAATAAAACTGAAAACTCTCTCCAACATTTTGGTAATCGCAGGTATTTTAGCTACACTTTTAGCACAGTATTCCACTTTCAAATAGTTCTACCTCCTGCATCTAAAAGCGGTAGAAGACTACAAACTTGGCTAGCAGTTACATGAAGGTGCGTTTGTGTTACCTCAAATTCTGTGGAAAACGTAGAGAGCTTACCCTGCCTCCATACTGCAGCATCGGTGCAGGTAACACCCGACCTGTCAGCTCCGTCATCTCATTATGAACAACGATTCCAAACTCCTTCAGGTACGGATCAGGTCCCCCCACCATACTGTTACTCTTGACCTGGAGACAAAGAAAGAATGCCTTCAACACACAGGATGACAACTCCTGTGGAGATTTTATTTGTACAGGTAAGATCTAAGCCACTAATCACGTCCCCTCCCCAGGGCACTGCCACGCTTGAACAGATTCACAGCCGTCTCTGAAGGTTTTACAAGAAGTGGTCCAGAAGTAGCTGGATGTTGTGTCTCTAGATCTGAACTTTTCAAAGGCGTGTGCAAAAATAGTAAAATGTATAATATACACATTACCCCAAATTAACACATATTAAGTTGAACTACACAGGGAAGGCTGACACGGACAGATAGGTGTTTCAACATATATCTCAAACTAAACGTGGTTAGAGCATGTTGAATTTCAAGGAAAGGCATTCACAAAATGGACGGCACGACACTTCATGCCCTACTCTGAACAGCAGCAGAGTGGATTTTAGGAGCCTGCACAATCATCAGAAGGGCCGTTCTCAGGGGACCTCAAAGGACCGAATGGGTCCATAAGGAAACAGACAATATTTCAGATACTAAAGTATTTATCGTTATACTTCTTGTGCTACGTGGCCAGAGATCACACACATTTGGGGAGCCAATCTGACAGTAGCTGAAATGGCCGACTAAACAAAATGAGTTGGAAGGCCGTTACTCTCTGCACACGGTGAACACCCTTATTTGCCACAGACGTCTTTGAAATACCTGACTCCAGTCAGAGGCACTCACTAGTCTACTGATTTCCTCCTGCCTGTCGGGTGCAGACCGCGCTGTGGCCTTGATCATAGTTGATGTCTGATTGTCTGTTAGCTTCTTGATACAACGCTGGCCTGCCACTATATTACATACCTAGGAGCAGAAGAACAGCATTGTAAACAAGCATGCTGCAATACGAGAATACTGGGAAGTAGAACGGCCAGATTGTTTTACCTCAAGGGGTAAATATGTATGTTTCTGCTCCTGTCCCACTTGCAGACACGGAAGATGGGGGTATTTCAGCTGCAGGCTGTACTTCTGTTTAAAATACTGAGCTACTGTGCACTCCATAGCCTGTCCATTTTCCAACTGCAGTGGGAACCTGTGGGAAGAAGCAGATACTGTATTTTATTAACTCTGTAAACCTCCCAGACTAGAGGGTTTTCACTAATGGGGCAGAATAACACCCAAACAAATAAACAAAAACAAACAAACAAACATCCTGCTTTCTACTGTTGGCTCTGAACTGCCTTGCACTGATCCTGTGATTTACAGATTACTCGTCCTGTTATCTGACAATCGAGTATGGGGTAGCTTGCGAGATGCTTACTGCCAATTCAGCCATCCAAAAGCTATAGTGAAAAAGTATCCAAACAGACGGTTGCAAAGCATGCTACAAGCATACTATGTAAGGTGCTCCCACACGAGCCTGCCAGGCAGCATGGATCAAGAGGGCTCCCCCAGCTTCTCATTTGCAAAGGCAAGGTGGATGGCTATCAGACACAGACTCCTCTGTTGTTATACACAGACAATAAACTCTCTCCCAAGTCTCTGAATAGCTCAGAGATTATAAATGTAATAGGACTCTTTTTAAAGTTACGGTAGATATACAGTTGTTTTTAGCGTTATTATCTGTGCTGAAGAAAGAACAAAAAGTAAGTCCCATAGGCCGGAATGTTGTTGCACAAGGGACAGAGAGCAATGCTCCACTTGTACAATGTCTAGCTTACCTATTGAGTAAAGTGGAGGATCACTCCATTGAAATGAGTGAGACTCATGTCTGGGCAGAAAGGTCCTGGGTACCTCCTTGGACCAAGCCTGGAAAATTACTGCACCTTGGACAAACGGTTCAAATAACAAGACCTAGCCCTTCAAACTTCTCAACAGGCCTCTTTTAACACAAATATACTTTCAACAATTAGCAAAGAATGGGCATACATACGTCTGGTGGCTGGCTGGTCGCCTAGTAACATTGCAAACTCTATATTTTCTCTTCATCTGACCACAGTGTGTAACCTCTACTTTTAGACCTGCAGGTCCATAAAAAACACAAATGTGAAGGAGACAATGTGAAGCAAGAGAGGCAGGATCAATTTTTCATGCAGAAACCTGTGTTCACATCTTTGATCTCTATAGATAAATTACTGTAAGTTGATAACTACATTAGACAACTGCCTATGTTATTTGGTTTGGAGCTTCAAAAGCTCAACAAGGCTTATAAAAACCTGTTTCAAATTAAAATATATGCTGATTCATACCAACAATTAAAAACTAAATCTTTCGATTTTATCCAAAACTGGGCCAAGGCAAAAAGTCCATGTGCTTCCTTTAGCCTGAATAGATTTTGCTTACGGTGAAGAGTTCCACAGTACCAAACAAACAAACAAACAAAAACCTAACACAGTGCAGGATGGTTTCAGGCTTAGTGGTATTTGGAGCAGATCCACCAAAACAAAAACAAAAAAAAAGGGACTTGGCAGTGATGCTAGATTTTCAAACTGGGAAAATTTCCAATATTAATTTTTCCATGTACCATATTTAAAGAAACATCAAATTCATAGGCAACAAAGAAACACAGGACGTTATTTTATAGTCAGACCACTGCCGTGCAAGTATTGTTCATGTCCCCTAAATCTGAATCTTGGGGAAAAGGTCTTCTTCAAAAAACAAAGAAACACAGGACGTTATTTTATAGTCAGACCACTGCCGTGCAAGTATTGTTCATGTCCCCTAAATGGTAAATCCGAATCTTGGGGAAAAGGTCTTCTTCAAAAATGAAGGATGAATTATTATTTATTTTATTATTATTTGTAAATATTCATGCCCAACTGCTTTGCTTCCAATAACAAGACCACATCAGGTATGTTCCCAGTAGGATGGTGGTACAAGGATGGATACCGAAACAGTAGAGATGAGCACGAATTTTGGTTCGGAGATTCATATCAGTTCGTATACATGCCACCACAGTTGCTACTTGTTCCCTTTTCCTGCCTCTCCAGCCAATGACCCACTCACCAGTCGGAGAGTGCTCCTCCTCTCCTCCTCCTCCTCCTCCTCCTCCTCCTCCTCGCTGGATGTTTGACCAGTCCTTGGCAGGAGCATAGGTTTGCCTGTCCTGCCTCCTTGTCTGAGTGGGTGATCAGTCAAGGAGGTGGGGCAGGGAAGCCCATGCTCCTGCCAGACTGGTCAAATAGCCGAAGAGGAGAGGAGAGGATCACGTGCTGGCTGGTGAGTAGGGGAACCAGCCCGGGAGGCGGGGCATGGGAATGTGCAGCGCTGATGGTGTTGTGCGTACAAATAGGCATAAAGCTCCGAACCGAGGTTTGTGCCCATCTCTACAAATCAGCCTTGATCTGAAACTGAAATAAATGGTAGAAGCAACTGTACAAGCAGTGATAATCAACTACATAATGGAGTTTTAATGATCCTAGTGGAAAGGAGTTAAAAGAGCTCACTCAGTGAGCTAAAAATTGAGTTTTCAGTATATTTTCCTTCAAAATGTAAACGGCACATGAAAGTTAAAAGATAAGGATTTTAATTACAAACAGTTTCCTCAAAGTTCTGAATGTATCCGAATATATATTTATGCCACCTTTTCCCCCTAATCAAATATTTCCATTCAACAACATATGGCCTTTGGAACACTGAAAAGCTTTATTCAGTAAACATTAATAAAATAAATTCTCTAATTAAGTTCATACTATAGAGTGTTCCAGAAAATTTAATTAATTAAGTTACTTATGACTAACTTATTTCCTGTAATTTCTGTGCATATTATTAAATCTGACTAAGTTTAAATCTAACCCTGCTATTTAAAAAAAAATGCCATAAAATGTATCCCAATGGCCCAGACTGTCGTATAATTTTCCAAAACTTGGAACACAATGAAGAACTGTTAAAAACCATTTTATCAAAAGTCAATATACATGAAAGGAAAAAAAAAATCTGTTTATTCCAAAGATTCACCTCTGATTTCTTTGGTAAATTTAACACGCTGGGAATCCGTAAGGGGTTTTGTTTGTTCATTGATGTTCTGAATATCCAAGACCTCACACATGAACTCAATAATTGGCTGGGCACGATAGAATGCAGTAGCTGATACTAAAACAGAAAAAAAACACACCACCAACTGAGACAAGACTCATGTGAGAGGTTCAAGATAATTTAACCAAAAGGCTTTCTTCCCATACCATCTATGTTGAGCATCATATTCCACATCGCCGGCCTGACAGACTGGTGGAATCCAAACCAGACTTCCCTGCCGCCTCCCAAGGGGTGATAGTATCCTTCAGGGGGAGAGAAGAAGGAACGGCCCACCGGGGTGTATCTGATGAACATGTGAAAGTTTATCAGTTTTGTTTTCCTTAGATAATTATTTCAGTTGAGAAACATTTGTAGAACAAATGTTACAAGTATTAAGCATTAAATAAGTGGGATCTACAAGAGCGTTGCAGGACGAATTTGCTCCAGCAGCTTACTGTATTCTCTAATGGGGCAGTCTGTTCCATCTTTCTGGTACTCACTCCCCGCAAGTCTCAGGCAATAAAAATCTGCACTCACTGGATACTCAGTCCTCATTAAAGTGTTTGGGTTTTTCTTCCCCACTCCCTTAGGATTCTTTTCAAAAGTTTCCCTGTAATTCTGCAAATGCTGGATTTTCTCTAACCCTGCCAGTGCCTCCTCCTATGCTGTATGGTGAAATTTTAGTTACAGAAGGAAAGGCATGGGCTCAGCATTAGTGTATATATGATGATCTATCATACAAATGTTACAGCTTGTTCAAGTCTACTCAAAAAGTATTAAAATTTTGCATGTTCATTTGGTATTTCTGCAGGAGCAGTGTAGAATTTAGAAAAATACACTCAAGCAGTATTTGAATTAGCCTCCCAGCCGCTCACCTCATAGAGGGCAGATGCCGTGTGATGACATCAAGTGCCTGTACAGAGTCTTCTGGGACTTCATTTAGATGCCCCGCCAAAGCTTCCAGGAGCAGCTGAAGGCTGACCACCGACACCCACTGAACGGACACTTTAAAGGTTTGGTCTTTCCCTTCCCCTGGCAGCGTGACCTCCATATCCACCTGAAGTGTCAAAGACAAACATCAGTCATGCAACTGATACTTGCACCTTTTTCTTTCAGCTTTGATAAGCTATTGTCTTTAGGATGACTGAAACTCTAAGAACAGTACTTAGAGCCCAGCAACAGACTATTTTAGCTACAGCAGATATTTCTGCACCAAATGGATCTGCGGTAGGCTCTTTAAAAACATTTTGAAGCATTCAGAGTAAAGATGTGAAGCGTAACGCAACACTGCCCAAGTGGAAGTCAGTTCCTGCAATTTCACCCATGGGCCCTTGACAAGGGGGAAAAGGCAATGGATTGAAACCATGAGAACGGCACAACAATCCTGGCTCCAAAATTCCATAAAGGCATCTTCCCACGTGCAAAACAGCCGATCACTACTCTCTGGAAATACAATAAGGTCACACTCAAGAAAGGATTCAAAGCCATTTTAAAGCAAACCTACATTTCATGTTACAACTGAGCCAAGTGAAAAGATCTCTTTAGGCAACACCACCATGCTACTTAACAAGTTGTCCTCTGATGACAAAAGAAAATACTGTAGTTGAAGATACAACAGATTGTTCTATCCAAACAACAGTACTTTAAAACTTAGATTAACTAGCTACTTATTTCTTTGTATTCCTGTGATATCGTTAGTCAGACTGAACATGCACATGCAGGCATCTTTTAGATGTTGCCCCTGGTCCACAAACAGCATCTTCCGAAGGACAATTATGAATTCACTTACCCTATCCCTACCAATAGGCAGAGGATGCGCAGTGTACATGTTCCTTTTACCATCATACCCAGGTTGCCGATCCCCAAATATCTGCATCTTGAAGTGTCTCACCATAGTATCCACCACCTCCCTGAAAAGAGCTGCATGTTAAACTGAGGTCACAGGAGAAAAGAGGCAGAATTTGTGGTATACAAACTCTGAACAGCCTCATGAACCTTACGTATCATTTAAGCTGCCTATACAGCCACAGTTAAGAAAAAAATAGAAGAAAATGTGACGTTAGCTCAGGAACAAACTCCATCTACAGTATCAGATTATCATCGAATCTGCTGCTGAGAAGACAGATGCAGGATTGCTGTATTATACATCGAATTTCAGCATTCCAGTAATCAAGTGATTTTAGTTTTTACTCAAATAACCTATTTAAAACTGCAAGCGATAGCAAATGGAAAAATGTTGAAATCAAGCTGGCTAGGGGCTATCCAGCTGACCTTACCTGTTCACCCTCCGGGGACGTTTTTCTGGTTTGATATCCACATCGTAATGATAAACATCAATTTTAGGAATCTGCACTTGGAAATGATTAGCTAAAAGACGGATCGGTTTTCCAACAGTTCCCAGGCCGGGGCGGCGGGGAGGCTGAAAGAGGCTGGCTGGTGGCCCTGTGAAGAATGGAAGGTTTTAGAAGATGCATCAGTATCCCATCTACTCTAGCCATTCCAATTCCATTTAAGGCACTGACCCATATAAGAACAGAGCCTGAATTTCTCTACATAGAGGTCATGAGGTTTATCACACACGTCTCCGAATCAGGTGGCAATTCCTACCAATAGTCACTGCTAGAGTATACAAAATTAAGAGTGTCAACATGATCCCTCTCATTGTGCCATGTCTCATTTTACATTCTTTTCCACAAAACCAAAGACTGGTAAGTGACTTGTATAGTTCTGCACAATTTCTTCTCACTTCACAGCATCAATAAGAAATATATTTCAAGATCACTTTCTAACTTGAAAAATTATTTGCTAAGAATTTAGAAATTGGGGAGAGCAGTTTTATTCCAACTCATATAGCTGGTGTGAAAACAAACAGGCAGGGAAAAAATAAGGGGAACTGATTTACAGTTTTTCATTTCTTTTAATCTCATGTGTCGGGGTGTGACTCCAGAGAGAAAAGCCAGCCTGTGTGGGCTTGGGCAAGCAGCGTAGTCCCAGGGCACCCCCAGAAAAAGGGAATGGGAAAACCCTTTCAAGTCTTAGAAGACTTATGGCATGACAACTTTTTTAAAAAATAAAGAACATTCTTAAGCATTTTTAAAATTGCAAAGCAACTGAGAAACTGAAGATTGTTTAAATACAAAGTTTTGCACACACAGAAAGATTGTGTCAACATTATACTGTCTTTCATTGGTTCCTAAGAATATTGTTCTCAAAATAATCATAAATTTTAAACTTCACAGTCTGATCCATTCACTGTGTTACTAACTAATTTTATGGAATGATACATTTTTAACAATGGAAAGATTTTCAGTGGAAAAATATAGTTGTGAAAAGCTTTCTGCTACACAAAAGTTTCCATTGAGCACCACTGTTTTCCTCTAAGCTAAAAAAAAACCAAAACACCGCCATACATACAAAAACACCTTTTCTTCAGAGGGAAAATGTTTCAACCCTTTGTATCCGGTACTCGTGTTCTTAAAAGGTCACATCACATGCAATAACCCCAAGATGCTCTTGGCTGTCACGGAACAAGGGCAATCAAAGTTTACTGTGCTTGTTTGGAGGTGCAAGAGAAGATGATCCTATGCTAATTGGTCTGAGTTAGCATAGCTTTGTAGACCACTGATCTGCTCAGAAAATTACTTGGAAAATACATTCATGCTTTCCAGCATGAGCAATCTTTTAGAGCCAAAGTTTACTGCTTATCAGACGAGCTCAACAGCTCCCCAGCATCTGAGAAAACTGTATCTTCATACAATATTGTTTCCTCTTAAATATTTGAAATGTATTTCCCCCAGTAACAAAACCCCTGCAAAACCAGATTTTCCACTATATATCAGACAAGGAGCCAAGACTTTGGTAAAAGCATATGCCAAAAAAGTATTCAATTAACCCACAGCTGATCAGCTCATATCTAGAACAAATATATTCAGCTCTCTTTATCATTCAGAAGAATAAGCATATTTTCCACCTGAATCTAGATCTTCCCCTATTTCAGGTACATTCCTTCCTTTCAGAAGATCAGTTAGAGATTGGTGGGAAGCAGAGGAGACCTAATGGACAGCAAGATGGGTTTGATCTTGAAACTCCCAAGCTCAAATATCTATCCTGAAAGGATCATCGTGATAAATAACTTTAGGCAAGGTGACACACCAACATCTTGTTGTAATGACGAAGATGAGAAAATACAAAAACTGACAAAAAAACAAGAAAAGTAATTTTCCAAAGCATAGCATCAGTAAACAAGGAAGGTCCAAAATGGAAATAAGCATATCATAGTAAAAAAAAAATAGATATTTGGCCTAAGCAAACCCTATCAGAATTGGAACATATCCAGGTTTCAATGGGCTGACAACTTTCAGATGAACATCACCATGTGGCAGTTTGATTAATATGGTTTCTGTACTACTCTTCAGTATAAACCTCATTAAGAGGACAAACATAGATTATAACAGCAAACAGAATCAGTCTATTATATTGAATGCAGACTGAGTTCATCATGCTTTAATCTCAGCTAAATCATGATTTACAGAAAAGAGGATCATTCTAGACTGGATCCAACTCATTACCTTGTGGGAGGGTTTTGTGTCAGTTTTTGTGTTTTCTCATCTTTGTCCTTACAACAGGATGTTGGTATGTCTCTTTGCACAAAATTGATTATCAGGGTAGATATTTGAGCCTGGGGTGTGTGTCTCCAAATCAAACCCATCTGGCCACAAACACGTCTTCAGACGCAAATCAAAGAATCGGCTCTAATTTGAAAAGCCCAGACTACTTTGGTCTCAATTAGGCAACATCCTATCCCACATGTACCTTCCTGACCTGCACACTCTTCCAATGAGGCCAGCAAGGATCTGCTTTGAATTCTACTTTATGACAACCATCACCTTAGCCTCCCAATAAAGGTTTGGTATTGCAGACCCATTACTTAGTAAAGGGAGATCCATACTGAAATTTCCTTGGTGGACTTTTGCACCCCATTCTCAGGTTTTCCCTGAAAACTGAAGGCCATATTTTATAGATAGAGTGGATCTCTTTGGTCAGTCGTGGATCTTGTTTCCACTGTGTAAAAACTATATGAATAGCAGTATATAAATTTTTAAAAAATTAATCTTAGCATAAAACAGTCAAGAACAGCAACATTCAACTGTGAGGATATTTGTGCATATTTAAGATTTTATGAAAAATAAAATTTTGTGTTTAAACTAAAACAATGTCCTCTAATTCATCAACAGAATTGATAATGTGAAGTTTTAACTGCAGATAATTTACCCTGTTTACTACAACAGTTGCAATAAAGAGGAATTATGAGGCTGGAGATGGTCTGAGGCATGTGAAAACAGCACAGATATGCTAGCTCGCTTCTTGTGGAGAATTTGAGTTTTTAAACTGTTAATATTTTATTTAACAACACGAGCTGCAAGCAGCCTACAGCTCACAGTGCTGGAGGCCACCTTTAAAGCCCTAATTATTTGGCACCTGGTTATCTGAAGGCTTGCCTTCTACTGCACAAGTTCTGCAGTTGTCATTGTGGGGGTGGTGGTATGTGTGCTAATGGTATCAGGTCAATCTTTCTTTATTTGTCTAGGCATTCAAGAGTATTATGTACCCTTTTAAACTGTGATTTGACCCATTCTATGGAATGAGCACAATTTCACATAATTAAACTGTATGTCAGACATTTTAATAGAAGACGGTGGTTTAGGGGGGAAACCCTATGTCCCAAAGAACAAAGTTCATTCATAATCAATTCCAATTCATTACTTTTTCTCTGATCAATTTAAAAAATCTCTTTACATTGAAGCATCTATCCATGTACCTCACAACATGCTTTTCGATGAACATGTTAATTAAAAAGTGCCAAAATATCTGGCATAGCACTTCACAAGTAAACAATTAAAATTCAATACAATAAAAATAAAATGATTAAAATACAATTAAAATACAATTAAAATTAATGCGTTCCTATGGGCAAAAAAAGTCAGAACAAAGTCAAATTTGGTTTACAAAGGGTTTATTAAGTGCTCTTTAAAACTATAGATATTGTGCAGATGATTTTAAAAATTTCAGTCAAAAAATTTTAACTTTTTAAACATCATAGAAAAACATTTAAAAATCAGCAAACATGAGGCAGAAACAAAAAACGGAAAACATTCTTCTTGTGAAGCACGGCCATAGGAACATTTGTCTTGTGAATCATCAACCCCCCATTGCCAAAACCATTTGTCTTGCAAGTTTTTTGTCCTGCAAGGCATTTGTCTTGCGAGGCACCACCGTACAGTACAAACAAATCTGCATGGATTCCATAGGGAATCCCTATTATGTGAACTCTTGCGTTCCTTACAAGTTGCATACACACACTACCCCTGTGTTCTTTAGAGGAACCTGCTTATGAAGTCCCGCAACCTGCTGTTCCTCTTTTCTGAAAGTGAAAAAAGGAAATACAGAAGTTCTGTTAAAAGTAAAGTGTTACCACTTCAATTAAGTTCATCTCAATCAATCTTTAGTTATATTTCATAATATAGAAGTTAGAAGATTCCTTTCAGTATTCACTATCATTGGGACTGTTGAAGAGGAGAATATAATTCCATGGCTTCCTTTTTTTAACTTGTAGCAAAAGGTTGCCACCTATGCTTTTTGTTAATAAGGAAGGGGGAAATGCTGAGATCTGCTACTTACTCTATATCAAAATGTACAGTCTGCTTTTCTGTCTTGACAGATACCCCAGAAGGGGCTTACTGAGAATGAAAGCATAAACTAAATGACAAAAATGTAAACACAGGTTTGCTCACTCATTAATCACCTTCTTCCAATTCAAAATGACGCGTGTATGAGCCTCCAGTAAGTATTAAGCAGAAATATGTCAAGACACACTCTCTTGGATCCACACCTTGCTTTGGTGAGTATGTCAGAGAAGCTGAGAACAATACTGTCAGGAGGCTAGACTTGATAAGAGTCCAGACTCCTAATTCACAAAAAAAGTTGCCTTCTGTCAGAAATTATTGGATAGCACATAATAATAAGACCTGGTGGCAATAAACTCAAGAGTCCCATCCTTGGTTCAGAGACTTAAATGCCCCAAGAGTAAAGGTCTGGAGATCCTAAGTGCCACATCCAGGGCTACCTCCATAAGGTTACTCAGGGAGACTGTGAATGTATGACAAACAGCACTCTACTCATTCTGTCCTGATTTTGCAACATTAGGTATACACATTAAACAAAAGTCATTTCATAAGCAAGGAGACAGTATCCTCAAAGACCACCCCTCCTTACCCTGTGATTCTACAGTACAATTAAGAGTAAACCCATTTGGCAGAACCAGAAACTGGAGGACCTGGCCTGCCGCTGGAAGACATGGAGGAACATGTCAGCACTTCATTTAGCAAACCTCTGCTACCTAGCCTTTTGCTTCATTTCATACTTTGTGCCTTCATGTGGACTCACTTGGC